AAAAGTACATTGGAAAACCTCAACAGCAATGTCTGTTTCCAGAAATCATGTTAACATAATCCACAGAGCTTGTTGTGAGCAGTTTCATGTAGGAACTAATTTCTTGCTACTAGACTACACCTGCCAACTGTATCACCATGCAGGAGGAAGCGTGCATCTAGTCAGGATGAGAGGCTCCTGCTCGCGCGAGATGCGAACATTAATGGCGTCCTCCTCAGCTGAGCTGTAACATTAGCTAGGTCAGTGGTGTTAGGTTAGCTAGCAGCAGATGCATACTTCCTTCTGCTCAGCAATTCGGTTGGCAAGTGTAATTCAGTAGAAAGAAAGTAGTTCCTACATAAAACTGCTCACAACAAGGTCAGTGGATTATCTTGAGTAACCAGGTCATGATTTGTGGAAAGAGAAAGTTTTTCAAATGCATCTGTTTGGCACTTTGAGCACCACAAGCTGAGTGCCATATAGTTCCATTATATTGGAGAGAAGGCAGACATCTCTACAGCTGATATCTCCAACACAACTCACACCAAAGCTAGACTGATAAGTAACATTACAGGTAAGAGAAAATATATGCATTTTTGATTTGGGTGAGAACTGTCCCTTTAAATTACAGCAGTGTGTGTTGTCATTATCTAAATCACTGATCAGTCCAAGCTGCCCAAATCACTTCCCTCTCAGTGGATGTTTTCCAGAATATCTTGCGGTGGAAACTGTTGTTAAGCCTTAGGCTGACTTTGAAAGGCTCAAACTGCTGCAAATGTCATTTGCTCAGTGCGATACCTAAGGGTCACCTCTCTGTTTACGCCTGCCTTTTTTCTCTTGGGTACAAAAGTACTCTGTATAATGGCAAATCAAAACATGTTTTATTCACATCCTAAATAACACAAAAAGGAAAAAATAAGAAAGAAGGATGACACTAAGGACACATTAAAATGATACCCAGAATGATATAACAGTAAAAGGCCTCAGGATGATCCCTTGACTTTTCATCTAGCGCCATCATCAGGTCAAAATTTAATTGTGTCCAATACTTCTGTTAATGTGCAAAAACCTACAAAACCAATGATGATCCCATCAGTCTCAGATTTACTTTTGTGTTTGGCGCTACTTGGCAAATGTTTCCATGCTAAATTTCAACAACCAAGACTGTGAATAAGATAAACATTATATACCTTCTAAACCTCAGTATGTCAGCATTGTCACTGTGAGCACAGTAACACTAGCATTTAGCTCAAAGCACCACTGTGCATCACTGAGCAAGGCTGTACACTTTTAGTCTCGTTCTTTCAAAATAAATCTGACATTTAAAACCAAAAGTGTCTTTAATTCAACTGTAATCTTACTGAAATATCCACTCACAGATGTTACCATAAATCACTACTAATAGCCCATTATTAATGTGAAAATTACAGCATACTAATACTGTTGTGTCTCAGCATTTTTTGTCTTTCTTTTTATTTGTAAAGACAAACACTAACATGTTTGTTTAGGTTGTCTTGACTGAAGCTATAAATCACAAAGTAGTTTTCAAGGAAAACACGTAAAAGAAAAGGACCAGTGAACTTCAGATATGACCTGTTGTTATTTATGAAAAAGAACTTCTTACCAATGTTTAATTTTAATCTTAAAATATGCTTACATATTTGTTGCATCTCCCAGCACTAAGAATCCTGTATGCATGCAGCATGTGTCTCTCATGTTTCATTCAGTCTAACTTGCACAGATTCTCCACAGGAGGGTACTGTTTGGTAATGAGAGAATACAGATAACTGGATGTTGCTTGTCATTACTATTCTGATCAAGGGGACTCCAGTCCTCTATCAAACAGTCAGTAAGTTTGTGACTCTCAACCTTTCATGTGTCAAAAACCTCTAAATTGATACACTTTAGGTCACAGACCCTGGTTTAATAAGATTTCACTTCAGGGGCCTCTATCTGAAAAGATCTGGGTTATCAAATATGATTAAGGCTAGACTTCTATACTTGTCAACCACAGTTATCACAGTTTTGTATATTTCAGTACTTTTTATTTCTACCTTGTTTTTGATTTTTGTTCTCAATTTAGTTTAGTAGACTAGGAGGAAGCACTAGAGTGGCTTTGCCATTTCAGTTTAGCTTTTTATGTTTAAAAATGTTTTATGTTAGTTTTGTTTTTATTAATTTCAAATTGGTTTTAATTCTTTTTACAACGTGACAGGGGGTATTTGTCACAGGAAAGGTTTAAGGAGTTCAGAATAGGCATTACAATACAACACAATACTTTGTGGAGGTAAGTGACTCACAGTCACGGAGACATCCCAGTGTTAATGCACCAGTGCCTCCTCATGGTTACTGTGGAGACAAGTGTGACTTCATTGACAAAGACTAAAAATTAAGGTATTTCCTATACATTTTTAATTTATCTTAGTTTATTTTGTAAACACACAATATGGTTTCAGATTTTTTTTCCTCCTAATGTCTAGTTTTTTTCAGTTAACTAAAATGTTTTTTCAAACCTAGTTTTACTTATTAGTTTGATTTTAGTTTAACTATAATAACCTTGTTGTGAGCAACAGTTGAGGAGATAACGGTGGAGGAAGTGAAACCTATGGTCAGAATAGTCCTTTTTGTGACTGTTTCTCAAAGTGGGCTCAACTCTATAGTGATTTAAATAGTGAAAAGAAATGATTCACTTACTCAAGGACCCCTGGAAGTCCCGGACCGCTTATCTACAGAGGCACAAACAATGGTATAAATGAAAGCCTTTATCTTGTCTTTTTTTATTTACATATTTATTTTTTCACAGTTTTAATCTTTTTTTATTTGATGATTTGTTTTGTATGCAAAACAAACAACTTATGTAGCAGTGATTCTGTGATCTTATAATGGTTTCACAGACACAATCATGAGACTTTATGCTTCTAAACAATGTGTAGTTTGTCAAAGTTGAATGAGGATTCTCTCGGACTGTATTTGTTGTTTAAGTTTCAGGACCATCCATGTAAATCTCAATCACATGTGATTATTGAAAAGTTGTTGTCAGTTCTGTGTTGCTGCCACGCAGTTTAAACCATCAGAAAATTGCTTGAGATCATATTTTAATTTTTAGAAACATCACATGTGACTGAACTGATTTGATGATAATTTGTGTAGCTGTCTTCTTTTACTCCATCCAACCATAATTAGTTCAACAAAAATCTTAAAAAATAAAGTTAATTTCTTCCATAATTACATTTAATTAATATCTTGCTTTGAATAACCTTTTTCTTTTAATAAAATTAACTAACTAACTGTCTTATTGTGCAGAAGCATTTCTAAAGCAGTTCATTAACAATGTAAAGCATCATGTTACAGTAAACACAGGAGAAATGATGACATCATTTTAGTGAAATGATTACTAAGCCCTTTGCTCTGTGAGAGAGCACTCATTTTAAAACTAAGAATAAAGGATCCTGATCAAAGCAAAACGCCACAAGAGGAACCCACATGATCTTTCAACTCTTGCAGCATGCAAGTAAGTTACAGCACATTGCTGATCTAAAGGGATGATAAGGGTAAAGGTGGGGAATTAACGTAAGAGAAAAACGAGTAGGCAGGGCATCTAACTTATCTAGCGGAAATGTGTTTCCTGTGGCAAGACTCTTCAAAATGTTCTTTTCTAATTTTAATCACTGGGTTTTTTTTAAAAAAAAAAAAAAACACATACTACCTCCAGCAAAACATTTCTGAGTTAGATTTGTTGTCGGGGAAAAAAAAAAAAAAAACATGGGCAGTAAGCCCACAGAAATTAAAGTCATACACAACAACAGCTGAGGGTCAGACTTACAGATGATACAGGGTGTAAGTGCGGTGTTATGATCAAGATAATGATATGTAGCATTAATGATGTTTTTCAGGCCAAAGTGGAGCCAGTGAGCCGAGAACTGAGCTTCCTGTGTGCTCACACATCGGTACTGAAGGAGGAACATGCAGCTAAAAATACATAGGTAGTTTAACCTACATGTGATCACACATATGCATTTGCACATGCTTGTTGTTACCATGTTTTCATTTTCATAAAACCTCTGAGAACAGGTGCAGCCTGCTTCTTCTCAAATAATTCTCCAAGAACTTAAAGGGATAGTTCACCCCAAGACAAAAATACATATATCTCCTCTTTCCTGTAGTGCTAGTAACCAGTCTAAATTATTTTGGTGTATAGGTGTTGGAGACCTCAGCCCTTGAGATGTCTGCCTTCTCCTCAATACTAGATGACACACTTCCTTCTGTATTTTGATACAGTTGGCGGGTGTAGTTCGGTAGAAGGAATAGTTCCTACATGAAACTGCTCACAACGACATCTGTGGATTATCTCGAGTAACTGGGTCATGATTTCTGGAAAGAGACATTGCTGTTGAGTTTTTCAAATGTATTTTTCTGGCACTTTGAGGACCCCAAGCTGAGCGCCATCTAGTTTCATTATATCAGAGAGAAGGCAGACATCTCTACAGCCGATATCTTCAACACTCAGCAACTCACACCAAAACAATCTAGACTCATTTACAGCACCAAAGGTAAGATGATTTTCTTTTAAACAATAATTTGTGTTTGATATGGAAAAAGCTTCAATCAAAGGTCCAGTGTGTAAAATTTAGGAGGAATTATTGGCATCTTGTGGTTAGGATTACAAATTGCAACCAGCTTAAACTTTTCCCAGTTAGTATTCCTTCAGTGTTCATTGTTCAGGAAGGGCTCCTCTACTCACGAAAACAAATGGACCTGGTGATATAAACTGGTAAGAACACTGAATAAAGCAGTTTCATGTGTGCTCACATTATTTCTCAGGTAATTTAAGATCCAGAAGGAGGAGGAGACTTTTATCAGGGGATGAATTTTCCGCAGCAGTCTCTTCCTCTCCAAAACAAAGGCAATCAGTAATGTAAACCAGTAAAAACACTAAACAAAGCAGTTATTTGTTAAAAATCAATGTTTCTTTAACGCTGCCCATTGCAGAGGGGCTGCTTACTATGGTGGCCTACGGAAAAATGGAAAAGGGTGAGTGGCTCTATTTAGAGCCAGTATTTGATTTGTCCATTCTGGGCTACTGAAGAAACATGGTGGTGCATTATTGCAATCTCTGTAGACAAGGACCTGCTCCCTATGTAGATATAAACTGGTCCACAACAAAAACACAACAGTTCTATTTTCAGATGATTATACACTGAGGAAAACATAGTTATTCTATTCTATTCTATGTCTGCCAGTATATCCCCCTAAATCCTACACTGGACCTTTAACTACAGTAAAACTCCTAAAATCCTGGATCTATGAATATGCAAATGTGTTTCACTTCAAAGGTTTAACTGCTGCATATGAAATGTTTCCTGCTTCACTGAAAAGACCAGTCTCAGTGTTTGAGCACTGGAATAGAAATGATGAAGCAGATGAATGAGAAAACAGCCTTCTAGTGTCAAACTCTGCACGTATATCCCTCTGCACAGTGAAGGTCAAACATCCAACTGAAGTAACAATAAGAAAAACACATTTCAGGTGGAGGAGGACTTTAATATTTGGTCAAAAATCCTTTTAGTTAGGGCTTTAACCTCCTGAGACCCCAGCTTTTGTTTGATATGCATTGTTTAATTTCATCTAGCTATCTGGGAAAATAAGGACCTGGTAAGTATATATGAATATAAAAACCAAGCATTGTTGTTGAACATTATAATTTTGGGGGAAAAATTATGTCCTCATATGGGGACACTGGGGATTATGGGGTTTATTTTTGTGAGTGTGATTTGTTCGTTTTGAAACTCTATATGAATTTTCCCTGTTCCACATTCCAGTCTGGGATTGTCTTTTTGGTCTGTAGGAACAGTCACCTTGTTGTACAATGTGAAACGCCGCAATAATAAAATAATTGAGTCCCAATGTCCTCAAATGAGTACAATAACAACAATAGCATATTAGCTTGCTGCTATTACTAAAACTGGTCAGGTTTGTGTGCCATATCAAACTACAAACATTATTAAGCATAAATAAACAAGTTTCAACCCAAAATGTGATCAGGTTCTGTACCTTGTACACTTTTGTGCTGGGTTTGGTTCTAGACTGACTTTGCAGTGATGGCCACCATATTGTTTTTACATGGATTAGTATATTGTGCTTTTGCTACAACATTATGGTACAGAAAAGTGTCCACAGACAAAGGCAACAGTTCTAAGTTAAGTAGAATGAAGTGTGAGATGCAAAAATCTCAAAATTTAATGTCCCCATATAAGGACTCACGGTCGTAGGAGGTGAAAATAACAAGGAGAGTGAGATCTCAGCAAGTAAAGTGCCTATAGAAGGTCTGACCATTTCTTGGAAAAGGGTTCCTCCTTTCTATGAATTGCATGCATTCAGTGAGCTTTCGAGATACCAAAAAGGAGAATGATTATTTGAGTCACACACATTGCGTTCTTTCTGGTTTGAAAAAAACAAGCATATGACTTGAACACATTTAAGGAGAAGGAGTAGACGAAATTTTAAGATTTTTTTAAAATAAGGTCATTGAACCAAAGTGAGACACAAACTTAACTTATTAAAACATCAAAAAACAGTATTTTTTATATGCATTAAACATGTCGTTAATGTATTGGATTCTCTATTACTATTAAATAATTTACACATTAACTACTGAAGATACTACTCAAGATCTGCAGTAAATCTGATCTGAGTTTAAAATGTATCCTCCATTTAAACAAAGCAAAACAAATGACAAAAAATTGATTATTTTTAGTTGTTTGTATTTCTTCTCTTTGAACATGATATAGTTGATAATAAAGTGAAATATTAAGTACAAAATACTACAATACTTGTCTGACGTGTAGCTACTAATAATCCATGTGCAGTATTTTCTATTATTGTGTCTGCTGTGAATGAGGGTATCCACACACATTAAAATAACTGTGACTATTTTTACCATACAGGAAATCTCAACAGAGCATGCTCTTACTACCAAGATTTCATTTTTGTTCTACTACAGCATCCTAACACCATTCATTTAAAAGCGACAGCGACAACGTCTGTGAAACCTCTGTCAGTAAGCGTGGCACAATTTGTGACTTTCAAATGCAAAATAACATTCAGCTCTTTGAAAGCAAAACAAGCATGAAGGATTCCTGAAATCACATGACAAAGAGTCATTTGTCTTCATGCTTTGAGTCACAGCCAACTTTAGAGAGTTTGTTTTCAGTAGCTCCTCAGAGGAAAGAGAAATTCTATAAATCAGACAGCCTTGTGTACTGTTACTTTACAGTCACTTCTCTTGCTTTGTAAGGCACCTCCTCCATATCTGAGAGTTAAATGGTACATCACATGCTACGCAGAAAGAAGAAGTACAAAGAAGATGACTGTTTTTCTGCAAACTCCAGGGGACCTGCCGTCAGTTTATTCTCTATGAGTCCAATGAACTGTATTAAAATGAGTCCCCGCCCCTCCACGCTGACACTATTACTCCCAAAAAAAGTTTCCTCCTAGTTCACTCTCAGTGAGCAGCTACTGTGTGCATCATGGCTGTGAACGGCAGCAGAATGTGGGTGTGATACTTGCCTCAAACCCACTCTCTTTTCTTCTTAGTTTCAGTCTTTGAGGCAGTCCCAGGCAACATGGTTGGCAGTGGATTTCAGTTTGATTATTTAGACCCAAAATTTCCTTCTGGTGGAAACCATTCATACTTTTTCATTGTTGGTAAGTGGTCTTTAATTTTCAATTTTTAATTTATTTTTTGTTAGTAATAAATGTTAACTTTAGGCATTTTATGGAGAACAGTGAATCATTTTCATGTTTTTTGTAGGTCTTGAGCCTATTTATTTGTCTTTCTAATGAATGAAATCCATTACCATATTACATTTTAGAAGCTCTGAAGGACTGTTCTGTGAACTACTTTATTATATAATTCAAACAACTTCTTGTATTCAGCATTCATGGCAGATTTTGCTTAAAGCGATTCGTTGTTACTCACATTCAAGGTCTGATCCTTGTTTACCACACTACGCTCTCCTCTCAAGCTTCAAATTCAGGTAGGATATTGTACTTTTTGTCACAACACTTCAACTCATTAATCATGAACTGCTGTTCAAATATCAGTGTTGCCTATTTTTCTGCAAAAAAACCCCCACAAATATTATAAAATACATTCCTAAAAGCGGTATCTGATTTAGAGTTGTGTTTTTACACTGTGAGTGAAGGCATTTTTTGTAAAAATGGCACACTGAGAAAATAATATCTCATCTACTGATCTAGTTTCACATCATATTCATATTATGTTCCAGGGAAATGCAGTGTAAAGACCATTGCATCTGAATATAAGCAATGTGAGATTCACCAAGGTAAAGACACATCTGAGTCACCCAACATTGAATCTTCAGCTGTAAAATAAAAGAGACTGGAAAAAAGAAAAAATCTTAACTTTTACTGCGCACTGCTTTGTTTCTTCCTCTGTCTTTCAGATGGAGTCCATGATTTAGAGTGTTTTTATAAAACACGTGGTTACGTAAACTGCGTGTGGAAACCTGGAAACCATGCATCAGAAAAGACATACACACTCATCATACAACAACCACCGTGAGCAGGATTTCTTTTTTACTAAGTTTTACGCTTCCTCCTTTTCCCTTCCGTTTTACATATTAATAACACACTTGACATGATTTTTCAGGACAAATTTTCAAACCATTTCTCTTTCTACAAGCAGAAAATATTGCAAACGTTACTACAACATCACTGACACCTCTGAAGAGATCTCAGTATATGAAAGTATCAATATGACCGTTGAGGTTTTTGAAAAGAGCAGCAAATCCACAAATTGTACAAAAGCAGTTTTCAGAGGGTTACCAAAAAGAATGTGTAAGTCCACAATATATATTCTGAAAAAAATATTTAAATTTCTATTTCCACCTTTTGATAATAAAATCTCTCACTGAATCTTCTTCTTTTTTCTTTTTTAATTAGCAGTGCAATGTGGTCCTCCGCATATCGTGTCCTTCTGCCGCCATTCTGGAACACTAGTCATGAATATAAGCTGGCGACCAAAGGCCATCACAGATTACTCTGTGAGATATAAAGCACTGGGCAGCCTGTTATGGAACGAGGTCAGTGTTACTTTAAACTCCATGTGAAATTCTAGCACAGAAACTGAAGATAAAAATGGCTTTCCTATATCAGAATAAAGCATGTTTGTCTCTTGAAGCTTGGGATATCATTGTGAAACAAAAAATAAGTCTTTACTCGGCTACACATGCTGCTCTCAACTTTTACAGAAGATAAATATCATATTTGTCATTACGTACTATATGAAAGAGTAAGTTTGCTCCCTTTAGAAACAAGAAGAGAAGTACTTATGTATTTCTAGTCTGCAACTGAACCATCTCTTTTTAAAGGGACAGTTCACCCCTAAATCGCAAATACATATCTTTCCTCTTCCCTGTAGTGCTATTTATTTATCTAGATTGTTTTGGTGTGAGTTGTGAGTGCTGGAGTTATTGGCGGTAGAGACGTCTGCCTTCTCTCCAATATAATGGAACTAGAGGGCACACAGCCAAACAAAACACATTTAAGAAACTCAACAGCAATGTCTCTTTCCAGAAATCATGACGCGGTTACTAAAGATAATCCATAGACCTTGTTGGGAGCAGTTTCATGACAGACCTTGTCATGAGGTCATTTCAGGACAACTATATCTCCTTCTGCAAGCAAAAAATACTGCAGAGGTTACTACATCTGATACCTCTGACAAGATTGTAGTATATGAAAATATCAGCTTGACCGTTATGGTTTTTGAAAAACAAATTGTACAAAAGCAGTTTTCAGAGGGTTATCAAAAAGCATGTGTAAGTCTACAAAAAAACTCAACAGTCATATCTCTTTCCCGAAATCATGACGTGGTTACTAAAGATAATCCACAGACACCCACCAACTGTATCACCTCACAGGGGGAAGCATGCATCTACTGCTAACTGACTAGCTTCACTGAGCTAGCTAGCATTACAGCTCAGCCGATGAGGACACCATTAGTGTTTACATCTCACACTGTCATGAGCATGAGTATCTCGTCCATGAGTAGATGAATGCTTCCTTCTGTGTGGTGCTTTGAGCACCACAAGCCAAGTGTCATCTAAGTCCACTATATTGGAAAGAAGGCAGACATCTCTATGACTGATATCTCCAAAACTTTACAGCTCACTCCAAAACAATGTAGATTGATTAATAGCACTACAGGAGAGAGGAAAAATATGTGTTTTTGATTTTCTAGTGAACTGTCCCTTTAAAGCGATACTTGAGTGATTTCTGACTGCAGTTCCGTTAACTTCGGGGACTCAAAAGAGGCAGGTTAAAACAAGGCTAAGAGTCAACAGTCACAGTGTCATTATGCTAACATACTCACAGGACCATGCTAACATGCTGATGTTAAGTAGGTATATGTAATGATTACCATCTTCACCTTCATAGTTTAGGGTATTAGTGTGCTCACGTTTGCTTATAACATAGACTGTAAATAAAGATGGACAACATGACCCACCCAAGGTAAAGCCAAAACATCTCAATCGCCCCCTTGTGGCTGGCTGCAGTATAGGTTTTAAACCCCGTCCCCTTCATGTTAGCCGATATAAGATGGGCCAAACTAAAAGATCAAGTTGTTAGGAACTCAAGGGAAACCCATGCGCGGGACACGGCACACAGCACACAGACAAAACTAAACAGGGAGAAGAGGACAGACAGGAACATAGGGAAGGGGAAACACAAGGAAACACTAGGAAAAAAACAAGTTACGACAATGCCATAACACAAAGTACATGTCAAATAAATTTGACATTTAAATTTTGTTTTTGTGGTCAGCTTGCTTTTAATGAGTTATTGGATGCTATAAAAAAGGGGGTTTGACATCATCAGCTGTGTGTGCCTATTTTTGTGCTCGCGGTCAGTGGCACTGCTCGGGATTGGTCGAACACAATACTGACTCTGGCTCCAAATTATGTCACTGGCGCAAGATGGCAGTGGCCATATACACAATATTTTGGCTTCATTTTTGTACAGTGGGAGGAAGTGGAGATGCGTTGTCCATCTTTATATAAAGTCTACAGCTTATAAGCACTAAATGCAGTTATCAAACTTTGTAACGCTCACTCCAAAGTGACAGACAGTTGTTTTCACCAGCTGAGCAGTGCTCTTTAAGATGAGTAAACTGCCCTTTATGTGTCACATCTGTGGAGTTCCCCTTAAATTTCATCTTAAAGGGGTGTGTGATTGTGTCTGATAGTATCAGTATGTTTGTGGCTATGTGTGTTTTTTCATCCACTGTTCTCACGCCTCTGAGACTGACCTGATTAAATCAAGGTTATTATTTTAACTACCGACTACATATCTTTCACAAGAATTTTTTTAAAAGGCCATGATAATATCTATGTCATTCACAGACATCCTCCCGATCCCAGAATAGAGAGATCTGTACTGTGAAGGGTCTAAACTCCTCGCTGGTCTACACTGTACAGATACAGTGTGTCAACAATGAAACCTGCTCAGAGTGTGCATGGAGTGAAGCCTATACTGTCCCATCAGGTCAGTTTGCTTTCTACTTTACTGGTTTAAACTAAATCTAACATTAAAAAATAAGCAGTTTCTATCTATTGTGTTGACTATGCAAGATAAATGTTTTTAAAAACAATTCTTTTACTTCACTACATGGTTATGAGAGTAGGAAAAAGGAGCTGAAGCTATGTATTGTAACCTATGTAACCTCTTCCAGAACTGACAACACAGCCTGTCATTGTCAGCCTTGAGGATACTGACATTGCAGGGGCAAAAGGCCACCGGCTGCTTTCTTTAACCTGGAAGGTAGGTTTTTTTTAAATGTATTTCCTCAAATGTCCCTTCCACATGACATAAAACAAGGAATATATCATATGTGTAGCCGGGGCTGATGTGTATTATTATAATAATAAAAGTGACCCTGTGTGTTAGTTTTCTGCCAAAGAGCTGCATGATCACTACTATGTGACAGTCGGGAAAGCTTCAGGAGAGGCCCCACGTGAGCAGATAAACGTCACTAAGCCTGAAATCCGACTGAATCTCTCATATTCAGCGTATCATCTCAACATCAGTGCTGTTAACAACGTGAGCACCTCCCCAGCTGTAAGCCAGGCAATACCACAGCGAGAAGACATGCCCAGTGAGTTGTCAACTTTTTGTATTTTCTGAGCAGGTGTCACTTTTGGGTCTACTGAACCATAACATTAGATTTAAAACTTGCTATAAATTTGTCCCCTCAGGTATGAGAAATGAGAAGCTGAATGTGACAGTCCACAGCAATACATCATTCACTATCTACTGGAAAGACAATCTCATCAAAAAATATGTCTGCTATTCTGTGGAGTGGATGAAGAAGGGACATAAAGTCAACTACAAGTCCTTTTATGAGAATGCAAACAACTATAGGACTTTATATCATTTACCAGGTGTGGAAACATACACAAATTTTGGTCAACCCTGTCTCCTAGTAATTCTGTTTACATGCTATGAATTTGTTTTGCCAAGTACATTTTGAAGAAAATGTAACTAGATTATCTTCTGTGGTGAAAGGAGGGTTGTAAGGGAGACAAGGATCGGTTCGCACACTACTCACTCTTTGCTCTTACCAGCATGAAATGAAAGGTTAAGGTCTCGGCTTTAAATGAATATGTCTTTACGTACACATATGCTTTCTAAAGTTTGTTGATTAGTGATTAAAGTCATGTTGTGACACTGTGCCAACCAAGCCCCAGTAGGGACTCGTTTGGCACAATGCTAAAATCATACAGTTACAAAATAATGAAGCAATCAATAGAAACTGTTTAAACACTGATTTCAAACAAGAACCATAAATCATGAATATGCCCATTTTTAGAACCAAACAATACTTTTTGACAGTTCAACAGTAGGAATGTCTGCTTACTTTTGCCATTGGCCTTTCACAATAATAATAGTTAATAATATGATAATTGTTTTTAAGCTTTCAAAAGAGTTTTAATATCTCAAAATACAGTCATACTTCAACTGTTCCAATTGTTGGCATATATTCTAACCAACCCTGCTCACATTTGACCCAACTTTGTGACGAAATTATGTTAGCCAGCTACCATCACTCCTCTCAGACTTCCAAATCTTACATCAAAATTGATATAAGAGCATGCAGAATGTAGCCGATTCTTGTGTGTATGAAAGGTCCAGTTTGTAGGATTTAGGGGGATCTACTGGCAGAAATGGAATATAATATTACTATGTTTTCTTTAGTATTTAATCATCTGAAAATAAGAATTGTTATGTTTTCTTTACCTTAAAATGAGAGGTTTATACCAACAAAGGGAGGTCGCTATATTCCACTGCCATGATTCTACAGTAGCCCAATACAGACAGACCAAACACTGGCTCTAGATAGCTGGAAAAAATGCTTTTTTTTACTGGTTTAAATCACCAGGTCCCTGGGTTTTGGAGGGAAAGAGAACTCTTATCTTGCAGATAATTCCGCTTCAGGTAAAAACCTCCTGAATGTCTGAATCTTAAAATATCAAGGAAAAAGGGTGAGCACATACTAGCAGGTGCTGGGCTAGCGGCCCATCTCCAGAGAGGAAGAGACCTCTGAGAATAATTCAGCTCCTGGTAAAAACCTCTTGAACAATGAGCACCAAAGGAATTCTAACCGGGAGAAGTTTCAGCTGGTTGCAATCTGCAGTCCTCACCACCACATGCCACTAAATACCCCAAAATCGTACACACTTTTCCTTTAACTAGAAGTAACACATTACCAATATTGCCATCTATCAGTTTCATAGTACGTTAAGTCACTCTCAAAAGCCACTTTACTTTTGATATTCTAAAACTAAAATGTTACCCTCAATAAAAAAGTTAATGACGATCAGATGTTTTAACAGCAGATAAGTGCAGGTCAAGAAAGCAGAGGACTTTCCGGAGACCAGGATTCATGTCCTGAGTCCCATTTGTGGCCAGGTTTAGGCAACAAAAGTCATTTGGTTCAGGTTAGAAAAAGATTGTGGTTTCAATAAAATGTTAACAAAGCAGACTCCAGTGTTTCCTGAACCACAACTTAGTACTCAGAGTGCCTCAACATGACTGTGAAAAACATTAATCATGCACCAGTTTTATTCAAACATAATTTATGGAAGTTTCGATTTTGATATATGATGAAATATATTTTGTTTCCTGCTTCTGAGATAATCCATTTGGTTTAAATCCCCAGGGGCTTTGGAGCCATATCAGAGATACAACATCACTCTGCACACTCGGCCAGACAAGGACACCTGCAACATGAAGCGCGTCAACAACAGTGAGAACACCTATGGGAGCACACAGTTTTATTTCATTGAAGGATGTAAGTCCCGGGCCTACTACCTTTCCACTATTGCATAATGTCATCGGAATAAACAAGGCTAACTGTGAGTCTTTGGTGCTCATTGTAAAGACTAGAATTACTGCCTTGCAGTTGTATGCCTCCACAAGCCAGTCAAGTTGCAGTTACAGTTTACATCTTTGTTGGTCCAGAACTCATATGTAGCTAAGACAGTTGACAATGCTTCAAATAGGATAAGAATGGTGCTGCAAAGACGCTACATATTCTAAAACATGGATGCTCAACACACATCTTCAACCCAATAGCACAGAAGATCTAAACAGTTAGCACAGATTAATGTCACCAACTCAGTATCTGACCAAATGTCTCTCTTTCTGTTCCTGAGTTATGATGTTGAATAATGGCCAGATGTTTTATGATGTTACAGTGAAGTGACCTTTTGAGCCTTTGACCTTTTGGGTACAAAATGTCATCACTTCATCATTTTATTTTATTAGACATTTCTGTGAAATGTTGTCATAATTAGTATATGAATGCTTCAGTTTGGCCAAAAACATGTTTTGTGAGGTCACAGTGACCTCTGACCAACAAATCCTACTTACTCGTTAAGCCCAAGTGCCAAAGTATAAGAAATTCCCTCATGGCATTCTTGAGATAGTGTGCTCACGAGAATAGGACGGACAACCCGAGAACATGGTGCGTCTGCCCACAGGTATAGGAGTCATAACACGGTATTGGCCTAATGGATCTGATGATGAAAAGTCACAAAAATCCCAAATGTCTGCATCAGATTTCATGGCAATCCATCCAACAGTTGTTGAGACATATCAAATATCAACCTGCTGGTTGTGCTACAAGAGAAGTCAGGAGATCACCAAAGGCATTAGGATTCATCCCCTTGGTAACATGAATGTCTGGACATAGCTTTTTGTAATAATCCATTTTGCAGATGTAAAGATATTTCACTACATACATGAAACTTGTGTGCTCAAAGAAAAGTCAAGATATCACTGAAATCATTAGTATTCATCCCCTAGGGACCATGAATATCTGTACAAAATTCCATGACAATCAATCAAACAGTTGTGTGATATTTCAGTCTGGACCGAAGTGGTGGACCGACTGACCAATACTGGCATCCCAAGAGCTAAACCGTTAGCATGGTTTAAAACAAGGATAGAGATAATCTCTAATAGGCCAATACTGTTTGTTCCTTTTTTTATTCTATCCATATCAAAACATTCTGACTTCTTGATTTTGTGCTCCCAAAGCTCCAGTCAGTGGTCCTGCAAACATCAGCAGCTACAATGTAACGCTGAATTCAGTGGTGCTGAAGTGGTTGTCCATCCCAGAGGAAGACATCAGAGGTTTTCTACTGGGTTACATAATCTACTACACGGAGTACCACCACAGGGGGGCGAGCACAGAGAGAAGTAAGCACTATCCATCTTAAACTGAATCACTACTCACTCATAAACTTTTATACTTGTTGTTTTGGCTAATCCATAAATGCAAACTGTGAAGTCACAGACACACAGCCTCTGAAATAATTATTCTCAGTGGATTTCCTGTCTGCCCGCTGGTTTTTTCCCCTCTGTGTCAGTTTCTAGACATTTGTTAACAGAGGGAAGTTCAAAGGCTGACAGTTTGTACAAACTTTATCAGTAAAAAGCCACTGTACCATTAGCAGCAGGTCTAAGATGGTCTCTTTAGTGGTCTGACACAACATTTGATGCACTGGCTGACACTGCTGTTAGCCTGCAAACATCCCTTCTCTTTGGGACTTGTTTGTCAAAGTTTGTTTGAACAATCCAGGCACACTGTATAAACCCTCAGTGTTGGCATATATAACTGTTTGGCCTAAAGCTATGCCTCTTATTATCTTATGTAAATTCTACAGCTAGCAACCTATTGTAATGGGTTTGAGAAGTGGCGTAACATGGGCAATAATCAATGTGCTGCTTACATTCAAAGACTTCCCAACAACACAATGCCTCTGACTAGATGACAGGATATGCTGATGTGAAAGTGTTTTGTTTTAGAATTAGACTAGCTGCTCTGTGAGCTCAAAATGACAATGCTAACATGCTAAAGGTATCAAATTTACCTCGCTAGCAGGAATGTCCTTAGTTTGCAGATATTTGGTCATAAACCTGGGGATCACCAGAGTAGGTATGCTTCATCAAGAATGTGTGTACCAAATTTAATTTAAATCAGTCTAATAGTTGGCAAAACATTTCACTCAAACTCAAACTCAAAATGCCATGAATGTACAAAATGTTGTGGCAGTCTGTGGGGTAGATGCTGATATATTTTACTGAATAAATGTAAACTTCAACCTGCTGATGGCATGACTAAGAACATCAGGGAATGACCAACATCATGCAGATTTATCCTCTGGGGACCATGAATGTCAGTTCGAGTCATAGAATGTATTCAAAAAGACTAAAGACTAAAGAAAAAAAAAATGGAGGAAATGGAATAATGGACATAGCCACCATGAAGTCATCCATTGGTTTGTGTTCCCAAATCACTGGGCCCATTGAGCATGCGCACTAGATTTTCGCAAGTCAAGGCTAACTTCTACTGGCCAAGCAGCTATTTTACAGCTAAGCTCTTTGCTAACTTACTGGGGATAAAATGATGTAACTGTGTGGCTTTTTAAGACTTTCTAAATATTTTTGGGACACTAACAGACAGCCAGTTACACCCCCCTACAGTTTTTCATGAAGGGGTAAATTAGCTATAGAGACCAAAGCCATTTCCTGTTCCAGGCTGTAAACATGTTTATTTTTGCTGTAAAGTTGTTCATTCTAACATGGTACTGTATGGGGATTGACTCGCTGTTGGAGTGAGCCTCAAGTGGCCACTTGATGAACTGCAGTTTTTGGCACTTCGAGGTTGGTACGATTACACATAAATGTTGAGATATTTCAGTCTGAATCAAAGTTGAGGCCCAACCGTCTGACCCATGTTGCCATCCCTAGAGCCACACTGCTACTGGCATGGTCCACAACTGCTCTGCCAAGTGTAAATAATCAAATAGTAAAAACTGGAAATTCAGTCCAACTTTAAAGCATGTGTGTCCAAGTTACATATGTATATGCTGAAAACTGTCACTCTTTGATTGCAGATATTACAGTGGATCCATTGTTTAACAACTATGAACTGGGAGACCTCAAGAGTGGCACAGCATATCAAGTCCAGATATCAGGTTTTACCCAGGCAGGAGAAGGAGTACGAAGCAAAGCAACATGTATCTTTAAAACAAATGAAGGTAATATCAATGAAACATCTTTTGCCCAATAATCATTCCTAAAACTGAATTTTTGATACTAATAATTGCAAAAAAAACCCACATCCTTACTTTTTGTATATTTCTTGCCTTCTCCCCACTTCATAGGATCTTTTAATTTCAGTGCTGTCATCGCAGTCTTCGCAGTTGTGGCCTCTGTGCTAATATTTGGATCTCCGATAATAAAAAGGTATAGTATGCCAGTCACTGTCCTACAGCTGTCATTCATTTTCAACATGGGTAAATATCTATATCTACTCTACGCTTTGTATTTTATCTAGAGCTAAAGTCTTCCTTTGGCCAAGCATACCTAGCCCTGGAAACAGCAATGCCATGCAGAAAATGGAAGGTCCCTTTGAACGGGTAAGTGTCATTTGTGCTTTCAAAAACTGTGCAACCAATTTTAACATCAAGCTACCAGCCAGAATGAAAGATATCAAATTATGTAAATGAGAACATACAGCATTCTGCAGACCTCCTACTGCTGTACTAAAAACTGTTTGCCAGATGTATGTTGTAATAAAGATTTTATTTTAATTTAATTTTTTAGTTTTTAATTTTGAAGATGTCATTTTTACATCACTCAGGAACTACTAGAGTCCCTCAACACTCTGAAGGTGGAGGAATGGGACACAAACAGTCTTCAGATAGTAGAAAAAGAAGATGTGATCCCTGCTAGCACTCTACCATCAATGATGCCGCTTCTCCACGCCTCAGAAGATGACGTAGACTCTCCAGAAATGACTTGTAACTGGATCCAAGGAGACACTGAGGATGCAACAGGAGATATCTCACCTGACATTACCACAGAAACATTACCGGATGTCCAACGGACAAATCCCCAGAGTTCTCCTTTCGCCTTTTCAAGTGATTACACAACAATGGAGATGTTTCAGCAGGGGATGCCTCCGGGCATACCAGTGAATACATCAGTTAGTCAAGCCATGGAAAGCAAACCAGAGGACACAGACTTGACTGTGGTAAAATCAGGATTGGACTATATAGGGCAATTTAGCACCAGTCCAAACTCGGATAGCAAGGAGATGTTTTGATTTTGTGAGAACAGTTTGGAACTGGACTGCTGAGACTGAAGAACACAGGGTCATAAGAACTATTGTGCATGAATGTTTGAATTAAATGAGTTCTTTTTGGCAGTCCTAGAAAACTGGAGGTGCACTGTGAGGGAAATCCGCACTACTTGAACATTCTCCTCTGTCCATTCACATCAACATCTCTGTTCATTTCTGTACTACTGCACTACTTAGTGAGCATTAATGTGTTGGTTTAAAACTTTGTAATGCAGTCGTCGGACTTAATACATCTCCGTCCTCATTTTTGGTACTTACCATAAAACTTCAATTAAAAGCCTAGTCCCAATTAAACACCCAGTCCCTTTTACTAGCCCGGCTTAGCTACACATTTGAAAAATAAACGCCTGTCACAATCAGACATGATTTTTTTAATAGAAGTTCTTCGGATGTACAAAACCGGGTTGTTGGCTACCTCAAATTATGTGTCTATTCCAAGTTGTGAGTATTGTTTTAACAGGATAAAGAGGTGTTGTGTCGGTATGCTGGGTGCCATAATCCTTGAGTGCAGTAACTCTCTCTCTCTCTGATGCACTGTCTGCCGGAGCCAGATCAAATGAATGATTCATTAATGATATATTATCTGAAGCCTAATTTTTAAAAAAGCAATACTCATACTGGTTTAAATAAACAATCTGATTGTATTTCCGGATGTTTGCTGGGCAACAGTTTTGTGTACAAGGAATAAAAGGCCTGTCCCCATAAAGACACCTGTCCCAAATGTAGGCCTTTTGATTTCAGTGATTTTAGCAAATAATAGCCCGGGCTACTATTTGAAGTTTTATAGTACAATAGACCTTTTTCACTGCAGACTTTTAGACTTGTCATAGTAGGCTATGCACAGGTGTATTTAATAACAATGATAGCTGCATTCCACTTGGGGGAGATCCTGGCACTGTGCATGCTGGCACACTGGAATAGCTTACTGGGACACCTAATGGAACTAAACCACTGCTAAAGTCAGTTTTACGTGTGATTATCCTACTATGACAAGTCAAAATGTCCGCTGTGAATGAGATCTATTATAGTCTTCTGTTACACCAAGGCCAAGGAACAAGTCTGAGCAGGACTGGGTTGCACCAGCTATGTGTAAGTTCAATTGTAGCCTTGTTTGATTGTAATTTCTAAGGTCAGAGTTTACATGTTCCTGACATTTTAAGGGTCGCACCAGCTGAAATACCAACATACACAGAAGTAACAATTTAAATCTTACACCTAGCCCTTAAGTAGGTGTAAGGTCCAACATAAAATACCAGTTTTCAAGGCACATCATTTTGGAAGGTGCGATAATTTGAAAGATAAGAAGGAGTGAATTATAGTGGCTGTTTTGCAGTGGCCATGCATTCTCTGTGATAGTTTATACCCACAGGTTATTTTGGGCTTTTTGTTTTCAGAATAGAAATGTTTGAAATTGAATAGGGTGTATGTAAACATGCAAAGGAAAATGCATAAAGTAACACATCTAAGTAAGTGGGAAATCACATATAAATATCCTCTGTGCCACATTGGCAAGTAAATATATAGGGTTAGATAACTTTCTAATTAACAACTACTAATTTACAACAGTTGCCAGTGTAGGTTATCATTATGTGTTTGTTCCAACAACGTCATCAGTCGCAGTTGTTGTAGTGTTATCACATAATCGTAATGCTTTGTCCCCCTTTATGTACCTTTTTGTTGTTATTTGGTGATGAACGTCAGCTATTTTCGTCTGTTAGAATAGTGCTTTTTACTGATTGGCCACAGGAAGTGAAAATGTCATTTTCTGTGACAATATTTTGGTTAGTGTAGACTTTACGCCACAGTAGCTAAGATGAACTATACATCTCCTTGATACAACAGACACAGCTTTACGACCAGTCTAACTAGTTTCAACGTAACGTTTTGTGGACTGCAATTTCAGAGTGAACTTTCATGTAGCTGATGCAACAGACTGCAGGAATCTAGTGAGCCAGCACACACAATACTAGGGCCTTAAAACCAAAACAGCTGTATGGAATTCAGCCATCATCCTTTTTTATTATTAACACCCATGCATTTCATGTCAAATTGTCTTCCATCAAAAAGAAAAAAACCCATAAACAAATAAAAACAGGCCTATCCAACCAATAGCTGTGGAGATATTTAACTGAAAAAGTCAGTGTCATGGTGACCCTAGAGGAATAAACTGGGGATCACCAAAGTAGGATCCATCCTCTCGGGACCATCAATTTCTGCACAAAATTTAATGGAAATCTATCCACAAGTTGTCATTGAGATATATCGGTCTGGGTCGAAGTGGTGGGCTAACCAACCGGAGGTTTGGAGGCAGTTGTGAAGATAACAGTGTCCTTGAGCTCACAGTGAAACACCTCTTTGTCAAGTTGCAGCAAGTGCATTAATGCTGGCCTTCCACCAAACAACTTTTCGAGCTATTTCACACTTGCAGACAAATTTTCAGTGTTGTAATAAAATCACGAGTTTTACCTCAGTTTGTGCACACTCGGGTGATATCACTTATTTGGTAGGTGGTCATAAAACTCAGTACAAGCTGCCTTGAGTCTGTCTTTTTCCCATCTTGATGTTCTGATAAAATCAAACATTTATTATTGTTGTACATTTTTAGTCTTGGCTCATGCTAATTGTGAAATTCAGTGACGTAAACATTGTTAACAACTAATAGCTGCATCTCCAGCACCAAACAGGAAGCAGCAAAATAGTAGTCAGTAAACATGGAGGAGACTCCAGGGAGACGCACGAATGAGAACAAGTCTCAGTTCTCTTGAACTGTGGAAAAGAAGGAGAAACCTGAAGTAATGGAGTGAACAAGAGTCTGAGTTTAAATTGGCATGTATCCAATCCACCCACCAGCACTTAGTTTAGTGAGAAATTTGAATTGCCTCTCATTCTCAGTTTCCTCGCACTAAAATAGTACAGCTGACCAACAGAGTCTGACAATGAGTTGGAACGACAAAATCCAAAGTTTAAAGGTTGTGAACAAATACATTTTGATGCCTGACAAGAATACTGTTGACATATGACACATTTTATCTTGTCTTTCTAGAGTTACCATAAAACTTCAATTAGAAGCCTGGGTTATTATTTGCTTAACTATTAACTTAACAGGCTTATATATAGAACAGGCTCTTAGTTCTTAGGAATGGACACATATTCTGACTTTATGATACCTGTGCCAGTAAAGCTGAATGAATTACGGTATTCTTTGGTGCTCATGGTTCCAGTAAATTGAACTGAACGATTGAATTGTGGAGAAGCTAACTGAGCTAACTATGTGTAACGTCTCCATTTTGACAAAAGTTTAAACATATATATTTGTAAATGGGATTTAAACAGCTAACGTTATCTTAAGTGGGTAGCTAACAACCTGTTGACTAAGTTAGGAGCTCTCAGAGTTTTGTCAGAATGTTTGTGAATACAGACCATTATTTGTCAAAATGTGTAGCCACAACAGACTAGTAAAAAGAACTGGGCGTTTGATTGGGACTAGGCTTTTAATTGACGTTTTATGATATGTTTTTGCTGACATGTAAGGAATTATTAAAATGTCTTATGTCCTTGAGGAGTTTGATGTAATATTTCACCGGGAGCAGAATGGGAAATATTCTCCTAAGGAATCTAGTTGTAGTCTTCTAAATAGTAACCCTGCTAAACCCTGTCTTTGCAAATCTTTTAGACTATGACTAAAACCTCACATTTTTTAAGATGTGAGAGGGTGTCAGACTTCTAAAAACCCTGTTGTGCCAAGCAAAGAGTCTCTGGGAATCATCAGCAATCATACTTGGCGGTATGACACAACAAGAACACTGAAACAAAATAACTGCATGAAAAGTCTCTTTATTGAGTGTTTTGGAAACAGATCAAATGTAACGTTAGTTTCAAACTGAGGAGGACCACATACACACATCCAAGCTCTTCAAAAACAGTTACCAAATCTTTACATCAAGTCCCAAACACAGATACCAAGTGCCCAATCCCCCAGGAGCAAACCATGAGTTGCTTCTACAGTGTTTACCGTACATAGTGGACATATGGATATAAAAAATAAAATTCTTTACGTACTATTCGTTGTGTTGGAAATGCATTTTTTTTTTTTAAATTGTTAAACTTTTTCACGAGTTCACCACTTCAATCTGAAGCCTTGTGTACATAAAAAAGCTGGAAAATAAAAACCATTAAATCAGGTTTGTAAAAGCCAAGGGTGGAATTTAAGTCTCTAATCTGGGGCCAGTTTGCAGATACATTTCAACACAATCACAATACTGAAAACTGAACTCCAAAAATGACAAGAAATAATTAAAATTAAAGACAAATCCACAGAAGTCCCATGAATGTTCAACCTACTCTATTAATCACCAAAGACAGCCGACAATACTTAAATATAACATCTCATTACTTTCAGCTATTTAGTATCCTAAACAATAAATTCAGGTTGCATTTGTCAATAAGTCTCCATATTTTATTAGAATATTCTGTACAATCTTAGTCTAGGCACTTTTTGACCCTTCTGTGCTTGAATGCAGTTTGTTGACCTGTGACATATCCAGACTGCCACTGAAGGCTTTGTCTGCATCTCACTTTCTTGAGCAATATGAGCCGACAGACATTTTGCACATCACCATCATTTTTACAGTATAGGCTTGATTTATATCTATAAAACATTTTCTTCATCACAACATTACAACAACAACAGGAAAGGGAACATAATACGTCGTTGTGACCGATTAGAAATATAAAAATGTATGTAAATGTACACCCAATAAAAAAAAAACAGAATGATGTACTTATGTTAACCAAACAAGATCTTTTCATAACAATATATTAGCAACAGGTAAACAGAAAAAAATACCATTCTGAATTCTCATAACTACAGCACTTAAAGCAGCGTACATTTTGCAGGATGTCCCCGTTCCCAGATGCAGAGAAAAATGGTGCAGAACAAGGAACAAAGGATTCTTCACAGACCTGGTAGTTCAAATCTCCCTTTAACACCACACAAAGGGCAAATCATTTCTATTTTGCTGTTTCTATTTCATCCACACACTCAGCAGACCTCGAAAAAACATGAATCAAATATGCAATGTGCCACATGTTTCACTTAGTAAATATGCAAACAGAATATGGGAAGCTGTCGTCACAGCCACACAAAGACCAGAGCAGAAGAATAGAGGGAAAACAGAGAGGTGTCGGTCACAGTCACGAGGTGTCAGTAATAATATGAAATGTTCACCTTTTAAAGAACCTTTCAGCTGGTCCAATAAAATTATTTGGTTTAATCACTAAGAACTTTGTTTGGATCAGTAGTTCCTTTTTAGTTTTTTTTAAGTTTTACTGGCCTGAATTATAATCTAATGATTTTTTTCCAGTGGTCACTTTTGTTAATGTTCTGACAAATAGCAACTGATACACACCTACAAACTCTGAAAACAGACACTATATAGTAAATGAAAATGAGAAACTGATGATTCAACTGGGGGCTCCAAGAGACAATATGTAAAGCATCCCTGCTGCTCATAATTCACTGCTACAACTGAAACTGAAGTTACTTTACCCCCAACATCCAGACAGGACCAGATGTAGATGGATATTACAGAGTAAGGATTTACTGAGGTAATTTTCCTAAAACTGTTTTAAAGACGGAGTCAGCAATTCTGGAGAAAGATTAATAATATTTGAACTCAAGCTGGTCTGAGCCACTTTCTTTGTTTCCCATTTACAGAGCTGGGGGTGTGTATGAACACACCAGCACACACACGAGGAGATAAAAATGTATTGGATCTGCTGACTGCACCTTTAAATACTACCTGAAAGTAGCTGCCAGTCCAAGCTTCCCTTTGCCTGTAAGAGCCTGTATTTGTGCACATAAATTTTTTTCATGTTTCTGCATCAACATGTCTCACCTCATTTGGGAACCCTACTTTTGCACTGATTCTCACGCACCACAGGAATGTAGTGCCTGTTTACATATAAAGACAAATCTCTCCTCCAATGAAAAACTTTGCTGTTCCACTCTCACAAATAAGTGATGCATAATGTAAGATACAAACATTTTATGACTGTCACTGCAAATTGTTGAGACAAAAACAGTGTTTAAGGAAATGGCAGACATACTACAGTATAGTAGACATACTACGGTATGACATAAAAACTGATCATCTCAGAGGCATCACAGGCTGTTTCGACTTTTGCAGTGTATGGTCAAAATGTTGCTGGACGAATGGCGAAAAGTCAGGTAATATTCATGTAACCAAGGACAAAGCTACAACTTAAATCTGGCATTAAATTGCTGGTGAAACAAGTATTAACTTTGTTCGTCCTGTGGGATCTTTGCCTGGGGCAACTATCATGACTGTCTCCTCTGAGGCTGGTCTGTGACAGATTACGAGGAGTCACTAAGGCTCTGCAGCTGGTTCAAGCCTGCACATTTTTCTAGTCTGCTGGGGTAGGAGACATCAGTTTAACCATCGATACAGAAAAGGGATTAAGGTCTTGAAGCATAAACACATACAGTAGGAGGACACAGCATCACCTGCCTTAAAGCTTTGCAACAAAGACTTTGGGAAGCCGCTGTTGTGCAGTTATTGTTGAGCTGATGTTAGTTTCTGAGCCTGTAGTATTTAGTGTTGCACTGTTACATTAATCATGTACACCTATTGCAAGCCCAAAAATCTTAAGCTTCCCTACCAAATAGTAAAGGTGGGGCTGTCTCTGTTATACTAAGTGCTCATATGCCTTTTAAGTGGGATACCAAAATTAACTGAACTATAGGATCCATATGTTGCCAAGACTGAGCTGTAGAAATCAGTTTGTATAATGGGAGATGATGATGATGATGAGAAAAACAAGCTGTTGTGAGTGGTTATCTGGTGTTCATGAGTGTGTGTGCAGGATTAGTTTACATGGTGTTGTGATAGTCACTTGGTGCTGTCTGCACCCATAGATGCGTACTCCTCATTGTGAGTCTTGTAGCTGCCATTATGCTGGGTGGAGGGTGATGACATCATATCCTCGCTGAGTGTGACCGAGTCTTCTCTCTCACTTTCATAGTCTTCTTTTTCTTCTCTGTCATAGTCCCTTTCCACCTGGAAGTCAAATGAGTAACGGTCAATTGTGGTCGGGCAAAACTTGACAAAATAGAGTGAAGACAAAAAATGTTATGAATGATGCAGTGGTAGAGAGCTACTTAATATTCTAACTAAAAGCAAAGAATCTCTGTCGTTTCCTTCACATATCTCGAGAGCCATTCATCCTAGGGCTGTAGTCTCCTGGTCGACTAGTCGATTATTTGGTCGCTATACTCTCGTCTGACCAAATTCTCATTGGTCGAATAATGGCTGTGTTACTTTCATAAGGAGATGAGTGCTACATCAACAGCTCACCCAAATGCGCATCGCGGTGACGCAGACCTCCTGTCTATTTCTGTAAGCTGAAACCATTTCCCTCAGTGGTAGTCTCTGGCAGTCTGGTTTGCCTACAGACTCTACATTCAGTGAATGTAGAGTCTGTAGGCAAACCCCGGAGATCTTGCCTCCGGAAGAAGAGCGGAAGAGCCCTGGTTTCCAGTTGTAGGCTGTTTGTAGTCCACGTGATATTGACCAATCATGTTTGAGCCGGCTGCAGCTGTTGCCAGGTTAAACGGTCCGTGCGGTGAACTAACGAGGCGGAACCTAATTGGCGTCACTGCAAACTCTGAATCCATCGCAATGGTTCAGCATATTTACTTATATATAAACGGAAGTCGGAAACAGAAATTCGCCTCTTCCGCCCAACTCAAACCGGAATGCCAAAAAATTGGGGGGTCTGCCCCCAGAGGCTGTATTGCCGTCTGCTGGAAGTCAGACAGTTAAGAAACAATAAATTGTGAAGACAGTAAAGCCTCCACTAAAATAGCATTTTAAGTCATGTGTGTGATTTATCCTTCAGGGATTTATACTTCGGGATTTATCCTGGCTTCATATGAGCAGAGGAAATCTCCGATCGTCGCTAGGCTAATGCATACCATGTAAAATGCCATAGGCTGGCGCTAATAACGTAAGCATGTTGTATTTGCTTGGGAAACGTGTTTAGTGTGATGGTGGTTTTATCGGTGAATGTTCTGAGTTGTAATGGAGCCAAATTATGTACCGTTACCTTTGTTACATGTCGCTGTTGTCCCTGGTTTTTATTGTTTTATTGGATTACATTGCCCGGTTGGCCTGGGAACGCCTCGGGTTCCCTCGGAAGAGCTGACGGAAGTGGCTGGGGAGAGGACTGTCTGGGCTTCTTTGCTGACGCTGCTGCCCCCGCAACCCGGACCCGGATAAGCGGAGGACGACAAGTACGAGTACGAGTACGAGTACAGGTAAAATGCCACAGACTTGTGCTAATAACGTTAGCATGTTGTATTGCTGGGGGAAATGTGTCCAGATAAAGACAAGTGTTTGTCTGTCAGTTCTGCGATTTATAGTGAAGCCAATTTGTCTACTTGTGTTTGAAATTGTCTCTATTAAGCCATATTTAATGTGTGTTTTGAATCAACTATATAAATAAAGTTTGATTTGAACTAAACTTTAAAGCACTTAACACAGTCCTCTACCACCGTCTAGTGTTTTGGAGGTGTAACTGCAGAATGACACAGACACACCACCGCAAAAGTAAAAATAACATTTTTAAACATTTTGTTTTTCCCCCACAACTAATCCAGGGTTTCTGCCGGTATCAGCAAATCTAATTTAATGCTTTTTAATGCCACTTTAAACAAATTTAATGCCCATGTCCAACTGCAGATAGTTTTTTATTTATTTTATATATATATATACAGTACAGGCCAAAAGTTTGGACACACCTTCTCATTCAATGCGTTTTCTTTATTTTCATGACTATTTACATTGTAGATTCTCACTGAAGGCATCAAAACTATGAATGAACACATGTGGAGTTATGTACTTAACAAAAAAAGGTGAAATAACTGAAAACATGTTTTATATTCTAGTTTCTTCAAAATAGCCACCCTTTGCTCTGATTACTGCTTTGCACACTCTTGGCATTCTCTCCATGAGCTTCAAGAGGTAGTCACCTGAAATGGTTT